AATACTATTTTAAAGAGATAATAATTAAACGTGTGTGTCACATATATTGTTTTCAATAGTCTGCATTCTATTTTGTTTTTTTTTCTCAGATGTTTACATGGAAAAGTAGAATAGATAAATTCGATTATTTGAAAGATAATCAACATATATTTTAAATAGATATCCGAAATAGATGAACATAAAATTGAAATCAGATGCATTTGTAAAAAAAAATAGTTGAATGCCGTATATTCATAGTACTGATCATATTGAAATAGTGATAGTATAGACCTAGTTTCAATTTCTATTTATGTTCAATGTCTACAGTTAATAAAAATATCTGAAATAACAGATTTAAGTTAGTTATTCTCTTGTTGAAATCGGCCTAGTTATTCATAGGCAATATATGTAGAATAATGGTTTATCCGATCGTTATCAGCTGATCGCACTCTATAAAAACTGGTATAAGAAACATAAAAAAGAAAAAAACGTTTTAACTTAAAATATCGAATGGATGAATAATAAAGAATAACATTCTCAATAGTTGTGGACTAATTCAAGAAGTTTTATTTTATCTATTGTAATGTATATTTAACAAAAAAAAAGACTCATCTTTCAACTCTCTAGAAGAAAACTTATTTCTATTTGACTAAATAGTTCAAAGAATTTTTAATCAGATGAAACAAAACGATTGACTTTATTGTTCCAACTTTGAAAGATAATATTTTTTTTTCTGACATAGGAATATTCGAGTTTGCAACGATAGGGTTAAAATACCCAACTCTATTCTTCTATTAGGATATTTTTCCTTTGACTTTGCTTCAGTTTATCAAATGAATCAACTTGTCTGATGGGATCATTTTCTAAAAAAACTTATTTAACCTAATTAACTTAAATAGAAAATCCTTAAGATATTTGAAAAATCTGTCGAAGGTGATATGTTTATGGTCTACCATAACTTATCTACTGGAATCATAGAGATTGATATTGTAAATATCTTTTTTCTTTTGTCTATCAAATCAGTTGAGTCTAGGAACTAAATATCTTAATTAATAAATATGGTTACCTTTCGAAATCCTTTCATTCAACATATTATCGAAATAAATATCTAAAATATAGTTAGATTTTCGTGTTTTTGTGTACTCAAAAAGTGAGTACACTCTAGAATCGGTCAGTGTGTCCGGCCGTCCTGCCGTTAACACGATAACTTTCGAAAGGAGAGTCCCATCACGATGAAATTTTCTATACAGTTCAGTCTTTACAATATCTCGGTCGAGTTCGAAGATGAAAAGGATCCGTCAAGAAATGGCTGAGTTATCGAAAAAATTGTCATTATTGACCAGACCATCCCTGAGGAGGGGTACAGGAATTTTTTTCAAAAAAAAATATTTTTCTCAAAATTATTCACAACATATATAAATCGACTCAGTTTTTAACGCTGATTCCGAATCTGATATTAGTTTTGAACCAAATAGTAGGTTTCTAACAAAACATCGCCTGAAAAAGGTCTCAAAATGCAGAAAAACTGCATGGAGAAAGCAAATTGCCTAGATGTGTCTAAGATGACCAGTAGTTTTGCGTTTCCCAAATGCCTGATTTTCTAGCTAGTCAAAAGGACTATCGAAAGGTAAAAACCCTAACTCGATAGCTATTAATATTGGTGATTTATTAGGAAAATCCTGATGTCTGTATCTCTGATATATCACTTATAGATTGATGAGGTTGCTTACGATCGTAATCCTACTAGATACAAACGCAAATCCATTCAAAAATAACTCTTCTTATCCAATTTTCCAAGCTAAGCACGAATCTGAACTCAATTCCTGTGATTTCTAAAGATATTCTATAAGTCTGAGAGTAGAGTCAGTGGTCACCGGATAGGATCGCATACAGTATGGTCCATGCTAACTTAGCACGTCTGTATTTTCTCCTTGCAATTTAGTGATAAAAAGCACAGTGAATATACCTTTTCACTTTTTGAAGTACACATAACACTCGGATTTAAATCCGAGGTTTTCGCATTTATTATTTTTATAATAATAATAGTCGATTTGAACAGGTAAGTTTAAATAAAAAATCTTCTGATTTTTCTCTTTGAAAATTTAACTACTTTTTGGTTATTACATGAAGAAATTCTAGCACTCGTTTTGAACATCTTTTCAATGAAGTTATTTATGAAATATTCGATTTCCTGAATTTTTTTTCAGTATATGAAATTTTTTCCATTCTTAATATACAATTTGAAAATCTTCTTATTAACTCAAATCAACCGATAAAAATCAAACTTTCATTAATATCGAAATCAATATTTCAACGTGTTTACACACGAATTATCATGCCTAATAAAAATCGAATTAAGTCACTTCATTTATCAGATCTATTTATTATCAATCATATTTTTTCCCCACTTTCTATTCCATCAAAAATTACTCAATTTGAAAATCTTATTTTTCACGGTATCAAATCAAATCCACTTGACGAACTTTTTATTAATTTACTTTCCTTATCTGGTTTATCTTCATTAGTCATTGATTATATATTTCCTTTACCTGTATTAAAATATTGTAAATTATCATTGAAGGAACTTTTTAATCTTTTTTCATTACCTACTGCGACTCGATGAATTGAATAGTCTTTTATCGTATGTTGCTCAACTTCATCATTTATCGATTCATCTTTCAAATCGATTTTCTGAAAAATACGAAGAACAGTATTCAATTCACTTGAAGCATTTGACACATGTTTTTCTTAAATATAACAAACATGAATTTCAATGAATTTGAATTAATAATAAAAAATTTATTTAATCAAGTTGAAGTTTTAGTATTACATTAGAAAATGATTCAACATATTTATATAGAAATCGATTGGAAACAATTAATTATCTGAAGATATTTTCGAATCTATTTATCTAATCAATCGATTCAACTCTCAATTTTGGTGTGGACGATGTTGGTTTTTCGAATATCAAATTTATAACGATTTACTTGATTGCTTTATCTTTTATTCAATAAATCCATACAGTTACAAATAAGGTTTGTTTGTTTAAATATTTTTATTTTGTCTAATTTTTAGAAGAAAGTCTTACTCAAGTTATGATGCGAGAGTCATGAGAATCTATTCATTTTTTCCAACATGTAACGTAAATTCAGTTCAGTTTGTTAAAATTCAAGAGTAAGAAGACATAATTAATTGTAGATATTATTTCTCAAATGCTACTGAACTTACTCTTTCATATTTTTATGAAAAACAAAACCAAAACGTTCAAAATTGATTGTGTATCACTTAAGTATTCAGATTTGATATCAATTGAGAATAGTGAAACATTTCAATTGTTATTCAAAACAAATAATATTAAAGAAATTATTATTATGTTAGGTTGTACATTGGAAATAACAAAATGTTTTGCTAATTTATGTTCTCGATTACAATATCTTACAATGGAAATTTCCAATAAGAATCTTATACTGGTTTTATCATTTTTTTTCTCGAACGATAATTATCATTGTGTATCGAACATAACTGATAAAAAATATTCGATATACTAAAAAGCTTTATTGTATTAGAAAAAACTGTTGGATGTCTATTTAACGAGAATAAAACGTAATACATACGATGATAATGTGTATTTATGATGGTAAAATTGATTGTTAATGAACTGTTTCGTTCTAAAATGTATGTCACTTATTAATAAACAAGAAAACTAATATGATTACATTTTGTACATATTCACTAATTGATTTAGTTGTCTACTTTTAACATTCCAAATTTAAAACTTCTGTACCGCATGGTTAATAAGTCTTCCATGAAGATAAGTTACTCTATGTGATTATCTTAAAATTTATAAGATGATAAAAACAATAATATTAGTCAACATTATGACAATCCATGATTTCAATTAGTGATACTTTTTTTTCTTCTTTTATAAATCTTTGAAAATAAACCTTTGCGTTGAACAGAAATTGTTTTCCTCCTATTGTTGTAATATATCATCGTCTTATTTCTGGTACTGAAATTATGGATATTTTTATCATATATTAAATAATATATCCTATCGATGATTATTATGACTGTATGAATTACAGACATATTTCATCATATGATTATGTAAATAAATAGAAAAATAGAATGTTTCGTTCATTGAAATAAATTAGATAATTTAAAAAGTAAAACCATTAAATCTAGTTTAATGTTCACAGGTTGAAACGAGAACTATTCGACAGAATCGACTTGTTCGAGTAGTATATACAATTAAGAAAAAAAACAATACTTGTTAATAGAATAAGCCAGATAGGGTTTACTTATTTTATCACAGCACTCTATCCGATTCGTTGTTCTCATCTGAATATTAACAGAATATTTACTCCTAACTTACAGAAGAATCTAATCGAACATTTCTCATACCTTCATAAAAAATTTCAAATTGAATGAAAAAACCAGACATTTTTGTACAAAAACGAATATTGTTACGTTAATTTTCATTGCCCATAACGAGATAGACAAGACCTCCAAAAAAATGCTTTTAAACGTGTTACGAAGGTGTGAAGTTGTTAAAACGAGTAGTTTTTTTATTCAAAAATATACGTTTTTATCAGTTCTATCAGCAGGGGTGGGTGAGAGTCTAATCGTTTTACACCCACACCCTTCTCTTCACCTCTTAGACCACTCAAACCATCCATCTTCGCACACACACCTATCACACAAAAACTACAACACCAATACATGACAATCAAATAGCACCATCTGACAATAATACACCCACCCTAAATGCCACTTGTTCTCTCGGCTTCAGGAAATGTTTTAAGATGCAACTATACTTGTGAAACACGCAAGTAGCAATTATCTTGATAATATATCTGTTGTAATCGTGTATGTAAAATGCTTTCACAAAGTTGTTCATAGTGAGAGTTCAAGGTCACAACATGCATTAGTTCACTTTAACGGAAAAATATTTTTATCGATTAAGGAATAGAAATTTCATTGTAGTCAACTTCAACAGTAAGATTCTTAGTAGTATCAGCTTAAGGATTGGCCAGCGACCATATCTCAGCCGCTGTTAACTCTCGTCTATACAGATAAAATTCATCTAAGGCACCAGTAAATACACCCCCATACAGAGGAGTGCAGGTTGTGGTATGACCACCATCTCCACCTATTATGATAGGCATCGGAACAGTAGAGGCCGAAAACGTAAAAACTCCACTTGTCGAGTATTGGTTACCATTGATATACAATCGCATACCATTGGTTGAACTATAAGTATAGCCAATATGTGTCCAAGTGTTTAATGTAAGGATAGGACCATTTACAACTACATTATTACTACCACTCCAACTAATCGCAGTTAACTGTCCACTCGACGTCATTACCAAAAAGTGAACACACCAACCAGATGACCTTCCTACGAAAACAAGTGTTTGTTGCGTATAACTTCCTGTTGGTTTTGCCCACAAAGCCATAGTGTATGGCTGACCGCTAATGCCCAAAAAGTAGAATGGATAATACGAGTAGCTTATATAGGGTGCCGAGTTAAATTGAATTGCTTGATTAACTCGACCAGTTGTAGTTGATAGACTTCCATAAGCAGTACCATTGACACCATTGGGACCACCGTCTATAAGTGAACCACCATCAAACGAATAGTACGCTTCTAGAGTAGCGTCGTTCTTAATTTCAGTCGAATTCTTGGCTCTAGACTCATATCGTACGTTGTCTATGTAACCGTTGAATGCAGCTGCACTACCTAATTCAAAAGTGGCACCAATAGTTGTTATTCCCCATAGGCCACTGTAGGCACTGGCAGAATGTGAACCATCAAGATTACCATCAAGCCACACTTGTTGCGTCATCGTAGTCGAATCATATACACAAGCTACATGGATCCATTGATTCGTCGTTACAGTGGTACTCCCCGGTACATCATTGCTATAAAATCCACAAAATAACTTGTTGCTTCGAACTGCGAAGTGTAAACATAAATTAGTACTAGTCGATTGACATTGACCGAATATTCCATATTCAGTGCTACTCGAAAAACTAATAGGATAGATCCATGCTTCGATTGTGAAACTACGCGAATTGAATGGAAGTACCGTTGGTGTAATATAAACATATTGAGTAGAGGATCGAGTTAAAGAGATGGCTTTGCCATATTGATTAAAACCAGTTACATAGGTTGGACTACCGGAAAGAGCACCATTCAAATCACTATTATACAGTTCAAGTGCATTATTATCAAATGACCAGTAGGCATTGGCCACATCTGCAGCAGTTGTAGTAGTCGTAGCTAAAACACATGTGATCAACTAGTGACGATTTACTTCGAACAGAGCACGAAGTTCCCAAAAATGCGTTGTGAATTCAAGGAAACTTATACAAATTGTAATTGATATTACCGAGAGAAACGCTTTAAAAGAGTGTTTCAATCTTCAAGAAAGTCTTTAGAGATTTCAAGCCATTTTCGAGGAGATACGGGAATCGTAGGTGCAAGACTAAGAGATTGGACTAACGGATGTTTTCATGTCTCATTCTTTGCAATAGATTACAAATACAAGAGCGATCATTACAGTTATTTTTGACTGATGGTAGTGATTTGCTCAGAAGAGCAATTCAATAATTTTCTAATTTACACTTCGTACGAAAATGAATATTATGATCAATAGCTGATTTTGAAGAATTTCAACTAAAACAGAGGCACTTTTCTTAAGATTTTAATTCTCAAGAAACAACGATTTCATATAAAAATGAGGGAAACAGTAAGAGTGTATCGGGTATGAACGTGACATGTGAACTTCAATTTTCTTGTCATTACATCCATTAAATCTAAACGATTTTCTGCGATTTTTTTCGGACTTTGATATGCAAGGAAGCTGCTGGATATGGTCGAGATCCCGAGAGTTGTAGAACTCGTCATTAAATAACGAATCATGGACGAATAGTCTTTTTCAATAAAAACTAGTAATTCGTTTCATGTAATATGATCGAAAATGTTTTTGATGGCATTTCATGTAAACGATGTCCACGAATCCAATTATCTTTCTTCGAAGATGTAGAAACAAAAACACAAATGATAATACTCTCAAACAATTCCACTTTTGCTCAGTATTTTGCAACTTTCCATATAGTGCGTTTCAGCTTTAGAATAGAAACTTCAAAGAATTATTTTTGCAATTGAACATGTGTAAAGATAATTGACGGACTATTTTCACACAAATCCATAAGGGTTATTCTCGAAAAGAAAACACTCGAAAAAAAGTAACTGGTGTTATTTCTCAATCTTGTCTTATTATTATAAGAACTAAAAACTTTTATTAATTCTGAGAATTATAAGCGACAAAAGTTTCTATTGATTGATGCCAAACACTTTAATTTTCGCATGGGTCTTGATTAGTATTGAATTTGAGTAAATCTATCACTATCTATAAAGAAAAGTAATATTCAAATAAGCTATCTAGTTGATGCTTGCCTTTGAAACTTTGTCGTAAGAAAAAGGCTGACTTGAAAAAAGCTTTGGCAGATGTGTAGAAAAATAAACTTTCTATGGAATAAGCTTACAATCAGATTTTCATACGATTTAAAGCGCCTCCAGCATATAGTTTTTTTTCAGAATAAGAAACGTCATGATTGAATAAAATTAAAATTTAAAAATTGTCTCTAAATGTGTACAAATTAATCCACATAGTATTGTCACAGCTAAGCCTCAATCTTAAACAGTAAGAATTCATGATGTGTACAGGTAGAGAATCGTATCCCATATACGATTATAGCACCAGTTACACTGCAGTTCTTCTTGCTGAATTGAACGGAAATCATGTTATAACATATACAGCATCATACCTATTACTACCTTTACCTTATCCATGAGAGTCTTCAAGTGTCACCTACCAGTAGATCGAAGACACCACTTCCCGAAAAATATTGTGATTACTAGAATCTTCTTCATGTGTCATCTCCTAACAGTATATTCTTTTGGTGATGTTTTCTCTTCAGAAGACGATATTATATTGAAAATATCAGAAAAACAATGAAAGTATATTATAAATTTTAATTTATAAAAGCGTATGGAAACAGCTTTACAAGAACCAGCGACTAATTCCTATGATCTTTTTAGCTATCAGAATTGATGATTCAACAAAGAAATATTGCCGGATAACATAGACATTAATTTACGAGTTTCTTGTTTAAACGATGCTCAAAACGTGCAAGACTGACGATGATTGTGACAAACAAGTCATTGTTTTTGACAGATCCATCGTACGGAAATATACGACTTTAAACGCATGACAATATATGCGAATTTCCAGCGACATTTAATCAAATCTTCAAATATCCTAACGAACTTTGTATTTATTTCTCCTATGATATATTTCAAATTAGAATCATCGGTTTCAATTTGAACTAATGAGAGAACCTGCTGCAAAACCAGTGTCTCTATTTGTAAACTGCTTGGAACTCACTTTCGAATGAAAATATATCGTACTACCGGCACATACACGTCCTGAATGCTCCTCATTTGAAAGTGGTTATCATGTACACGATCATCCATCACAAACCAGAGTATCTTTATTTTGAACTTGTTCTCTTTCAAGAGAGGATATCTTTTCAATGCAACATATTAAAAACAATTAGGCTTTCTGACGAAAATGGGATCTGTGTGGGTTTAAACTAGTGTCACACCACGCATTCTATTCTCTTCAATCTCGATGTCCACTCCAACACCAACGGTTATTCTACAGATCGGCTAGATATTCTACTATATCAGTACTTTTTCAAGTCTCATGATTATAGGTGAGGATCAGGGATGTTGTAAGTAATGTTCTTGATCTCATGAGTCTTTGAACAAAATTTGTTGTTACAGTAGGAATTCTACTTACAGAAAATCAACCTCATTTTAATGCACATTTATCCATATCTAAATTGATGAAATCATGAGACAGCACACATCATCATCTCCACTGATATCTCAACTCATCAGTACCAACAAGCATACTGAGAATCATCGACACGCACAAAAACATATGCACAGCATTCCTTCAACCCTCACTCACACCTGGATCGGAACTCATTAGCAAATTTGAATTTGAAAAGGCTCGCAGTCTTAATAGACAACCACGATCTATTGTCTCATTATGCACTATTATTATTCTACTGAAAAATCAACAAGAAATGCTTCGAGCTTACATCATGTGGTGGATCACTGCATACTTTCGAATTTGAAAAGTTACTATTTTTGTTGAGATGGTCAACATGATTTACGAGATCAAAAGAAGTAGGATCCTAAGTTCTTATATATATAAGATATAAAAAATGCAGCGATACAAAAAATAAGAAAATTCCAGCAATAATCGGAAAAACACTAATAGACTTATCCAATTCACCGTGTTTCTTATAGAATAGCAATCAGACGTTCAACGTTCGAAATTTTACTACACGAGCATATTCATGCGTTCAGCTCAACTTTTGTTCATTGTGATCTCATCATGGCATAGATGTCAAGATAACATATGGGTGCACCATTTGAATTATTCTTGCTCAATAAATACTTTACACTTACTTGTGGTTTGCGTAGACAATGTTAAAACAATAGAAACAACAACCACAGTAATTACTCCAACAATTACGACAATTATAATGAGAGTGATCAGTAATTTTTTTAACGTGATATTCGAGATGAGTCTGAGCGAAAACAAAACACAAATTTTGTCAAAAAATGAGAAAAAATGTTCATATTTTATGAACGATACACACTGAGCACTGATTGTGCTATTTGTATTGGTAGGAACTTCAAGTACTGCTTGCAGATCAATTGTGATATCTTTCACGGATGTATCTGAAGGTACATAGCTCTAAATAGAAAAGTAAACAATAGCTCTACATAATATATGTGGTTATGTTAGTCATGAGCAAAATACTAGCAGTTAAAGTAAAATCTGTCCATCATGAAGCTGTTTGTCTTGGAACTTTTACAACTACCAGAGCTTCATGAGCTCTGATCGAACATATTAACTCGAGCTATATGCCATTTCATACGACTGAGCTAGAAGTTCAACATCTGGAATTTCCATTGACAGCAGAAGTTTCATCACGAAGTGATGACTTCATTTTTATCTGCCTACCGAACTGACATATCATAAGCCGCTTAGTATGTGCGTCAAATATTGAACGGAATAAAATCGTTTGTCTTGAAAATTGTATCACACAATGCCGAATTGTACCTCATTCTGATTGGTAATTTTTAAAATTATAGCTTTGCGTAAAATGGATATTCTCGTCCCTTTGCGTATGAAGACAGATATTATTCAGCAATACTTCGGCTACACCAAAGCAGACTATTGTTTATTGCATCAGCAGAACATCGTTAGAACAACAATATTTCATGTCTATATCATTATTTCTTGTTTGACATAAAAGAAAATTAGCTTACTAGAATATTCAACAAGTTTCTTTTTCCATTTTATTTAGCTTAAAGAAAATACAATGAATGTCATCAAATTATTAAGGTATGTTTACCATTATCTCAAAAAAAAAATATTCTCTTCGATCTTGCTACTTCGATTCTATAGCATCTCAACCGAATTTCAATCTTTTTCTCCGATTCTTTGTTGGCGATGATAATGTCCAGTTAGACCATTTACAAAAGGTTACACATCGTCATTATGATTGTGTATGACTAGGCTAGTATTATTTTTCTATGTTAATGTTTATTTTTAGTCATTCGAGATTGTTCTACAATGATGTGTTTTTCATCTTTCAGCAAGCCGAAATGTTTTTTCCAAAACAAAGTGTTTCCTGTCATACACGTCGCTTGTGCTGTATCAACAATAGGAAATCATATTTTTGGTACAATACAAATATAGTTCTAAAATTAGTATTAACTCTATTTTGAAAGTCGTCAACCATAATCTATGGACTGTTGTGCCTGGAAAAATCATCACTAAAGTACTGCATCAATCTAATAATGGCAAGTGATAAAAACGTATTTTGTGTTCATGACATGAGCAAAATTCCATTTTTAGCGTATAGATAAACGCAAAGCTTGCCGACAAAGTGATATTGGAATCAAAATCAATATATGTGATTTCTTATTTGCAGCAGGCTTACGGCAAACGGTCTGTTTCAGAAAGACTTTAACCAGTATTTTCATGCAATGATAATTCTCTCAATAATCTTATTCTGATAGCTCGTGAGCACTTCGCTCAACTTTGTCCCTGAGTGCTATCAGAAGACAAATATCCTAAGTATCATTTTAAAAACGGTATCAATAGAAAGAAAAAATAAGTGCCATACAAAAACAATGGAAATATGCGCCACACGGATTAGGATAGGAACTTATGTCTAGTATGGAAAGATGTGACGATAGCCTCATTAATACTACTCGGGGTTTTGCCATACATTGGCATATCGTGTAGTAGTAATAATAAAGGCTCAATATTGCAAACTTAACATTGTCTTTAATTTGAGAAAGAGAAAATTATCCTATTAGAAGAGTCTTGATTATAGGATATCAATTTACTAGCTCTTATCGAATCCATTATGTTCTGCGCTGTTAAAAGTCGTATGACACACAACAGAATCTGAGTAGCAGAGAAAAAGATAAACATGTTGCATAAATGATGTACACATAGATTTTTAATTAAATGATATTCATTTGATTTTCTCCAAGCGAAATAAAATGAAAAAAGAAACTTACTGAACACTACACTAAGCTAATTTTCTTTCGTGTCTAGAAAGAAATACTAATATGAACAGAAAATGGTGTTTTTCTTCTATTCCACGAAATCAGAGTAATGTTTCTACTCTTTCGGTAGTCATGATCATGATCTCTTGATGTAACAAAACGATACTCTAATTTGATGTAACCTAGAGATCCCTCACGGA